TTTATTGTGAGTACATATAAAGTCCTCTATTCTAGTTGTTTTGAGATATACAATGCATTATTGTCAACTTTACCGTGCAACAGAATACCAGAACTGAATCTTCCTGATGGTACCTGTACCAGCTCACCAGCCTCTCCCAGTCCTGTCTCCCACCCACTCTCCTCAGWCCCTGGTAACCACTATTCTATTCCTGAGTCATATGTCATGTAGGAGAATGTCTTTAAAAATTCTTTAAAATATATAAATTGGAATATTTTTATGTTATTTGAAAAACATGAAGTTCTATTGTGTGCACAATATMTGCTCATACTGAAATTTTCTTACGTAAACAATAAGCTTCTCGCATCTGGAAAATTTCCCCATTTGTTCTTGACGCCAATATATCAATGAGGCAATTCTCATCAGTGCCGGCTCCCTAGAGAGACAGAGAGAAATATAAGCCCATTTACATTTGCGATAACAAYGAACCTRATATTCAATGAAGGCATRCAGCATTCTGGTGTTCTGAGAGGCGGCAAGTGGGAAAGGAAGTATTTGGGATAAACAGCCCAATTTCAGTTCAGGCTCTTTCACTTACTCACATTTAATCCTGAGAAGATAATATTATTTAAGAAAATTCTTTTCCTTCCTTGAGAGTAAAACAGCATGGGYATTTCTAACCAATGTGGAAAAAGACACTGAGCATTTCCACCTGTTTCTGGAATGGAATTTACTCCAGGTGTTGTCAGGCAATCAGTTCTTAAGCAAGCTGAAAAGAGGGCACATGTCTTCTACTTTTCCTAAGGAAGTTTTGGGGATCAAGCTCTGCCTCTCTCTAGATGGGTAATTTTGCACAATTTTCCTTAGCATTTGAATTAGGAGCTTTCTGTGGGCTCTTATACAGAGATAAATATATTAGTCTATGAGAGTGATTTTAAAGACACCACATCTTTTTTTTTTTTTTCAGGAAAACCTCAGGAATCATTACCATTCTAGGAAATATTGATTAAAAYATACTAGTTTCATCGAATCAGCAACATAGGACTTTTAAAAATTATTTYTAGTTATTTATTTATAYGCTTGCTGAGAATCGAACTCAGTGCCTCACACATGCTACACAAGCGCTCCACCACTGAGCTACTATCCCAGCCACAACATAGGACTTTTTATTTCAAATTATAGTTATGTARTTTTGTCAAAAATGGATATGAAACWTTTTTTTWAAAAGTGATCARTTGAAACTTGTATGACTTTCAGACAACATCTATTTTGATCAGCAAATATGATGGCCCAAATCTRTGTTCCTTTAATTATGTTGTCTCTTGCTTCTTTCCTGTCACACATTGCTCACATATTGTGGTATTCTGGTGGTTGTCAGGCATCATATTGGAATAATTGGTTCTGCAGGTGTTTAATGTCAGTTTTGGAAAGAAGGAAATAGCTCTCTTTTTCTCATGTCCCTAGATAATAAAATCTGTAGTCAATTTATTTCATGGAAATGATTTAACAATTTCTTTCTGTAAGGTGAATTCATTCTAATTCTTCAAAAGTAAAATTTGATACACTTGCGCAATAGTTTTCGTAAAGGACTAATTTAATATCATTTAAAAAGTTGTCCTCTATAAGATCATAAAAATAAAGATGTTCTCTGTTTCCGATTCAGTATCTTATTTTGAATCTGAACCAAACTTTTACAAATGATTTTAGAAATTCACATGAATTTTTAAGATATCTTCTTCAATATATGAATACCTATCAAAGAGAGACAAATGTGAGTAACCCTGAAGGCCTGCCTTCCTTCCTTCCTTCCTTCCTTCCTTCCTTCCTTCCTTCCTTCCTTCCTTCCTTCCTTCCTTTACTTTTTTCTTTCTCTCTCTCTTTCTTTCTTTCTTTATTTCATAGCTGAGTTTGGAGTTGGCTTGGTAAGTCTGAGTGTCTACAACTACAGAACAGACTGATCCTAGCCACAGGACTCTAGAGACTTCCTCCTCCTAACAAGGCTCCTTTCCCCAACCACAATATTTCCATTGTTACATCATTGCTTAGATATATTCTCCTCTCTTCCCAATCATAAAAGTATGTAGGAGCATCATGGGAGAGTTTCCCATTTATTAAACATCAGGTTGTGCCTGCTACAGTATAATTTTTGCATAGATCACTACCTTCATGGCATGCCACAGTTCATGAGCATCAAAAGATGGTGGAGGGTACATGAGGCCAACCATAACCTCTTTGAAATGCGATGAAAGCTGCTCCTTTAGGTCCTCAACCAGGTTCTGTGGGGGAGAAGGTAAATATTTTTATTATATTAGTTACCAAACTTACAAGAGGAATGGAATAATTGCAGGAAGTCTGTTATTAAGAGTTACTTTTCTGTGTTATTTCACATAGTAAGAAATCTGTTTCAATTCATGCATATATCTATGGATTTCCCAAGAGGATTGATTTGAGGGTTTGAAAATGACTGATTTAATCTTGTCTCTACATGATAAAACACATGGACTTGTGGTCATATCTACATAGAAGAATTTTCTTTCCCTATTCCCCAATMCCAAACCTTCCCTTTTGATCTCTCTATGAAAATACATAGAACTTGAAACCTGAAAACATTTTAGTTGAGAGTTCTTGGTTTTCTTTGTAGAATTAAAAAAAAGTAAATAAATTCTTAAGAAAAACATGTATTTTATCATCACAATAGTCGTTTTTTTTTTTTTTTTAGCAGGGTGTCTTTAGTTATGCTATGGCTAAAAACTTACATAAATTGATTAAATAATCTTAGAACTTTCTTCTTCAATCAACAGCTGCATTATTCAAGATATTGAAAGTTAAATGCTTCCAGAGAAAAATGTTCTGTGTTCATTGTTCTTGGAATGCAGGCATAAAAAATATGAAATTGATATTTTTAATGTTTTGCCTTTTATTTTTCTAGTATAGAAAGGAAATTAAGAAAAGTACGTGCCAAGTTAATTTTCTGTAGTTACCAAGACATCTGAAAGATRTTTAAAACTTACTGCCTTTTGCTAAAATGTGCAAATATCTAATTTTACTTAAAAATCTACAAGAGTATTTTAGTTCCATGGTCGCTCAATAATAGAATTTAAATAAAAGATAACAAAAAGGCATAATATACTATATTGGAATAACAATGAAATGGTCATAATTTAAATTTTATTTAGCATTATCCAACAAAACCTTTTCTATGCTATGGATTTTCATTTTAACAAATAAAAGCATTCATCCACAAAGTGCTAATTGTTAAAACTGAAACTTTTTGATTTTTTTTGCTAGGGACAATCAATGCAGTTTATTTAATGATCAATTAATAAATGTCTGAAGTTGAGCCAGGTGGTTGGAGTAGAGTAAGAAGCACATGATATCTCCTGTCCTATTTAATTTCATTGCAATCTTCTGTGCTACATTTCCAACTCCTTTACTGAATAGTCGTTAAGGGGCCATTCCGAACCAGACATTMTTCAGGTGTTGGAGCTATCGCAATGAACAGAGATGAATGTTCGAGCCTGAGGAGACTGAATTCTCGTACACACAAAAGGAACTCAATAAATATTTGTAGAATAAAAGATTGAAGTTATTCAACAGGTGTTAACTGAATAATGTTTCCTGGACACATGGCCTGTGAAGGAGCAATCTGGAAAGAATTAGAAATGCTCTGTATCTTGATTCAGATTGTGATCACACTGCACCAAAATCAAGGAATTTTACTTTATATAGATTATATTCATTGTTATGGGTTTTTAAGTTTCAATTGATAAAATGTAATTTTAACATATATAAAGTGAATGTTTTCTAAATCCTCAACTTATTTAACCTTTAAACTAGGTCCCCTATTGTATATATCTTACTACTTAACCCCTGGCTTCAAATTATTTATCCTATTCTAGCAGTTTTTATCATTCTTCCATTCTAGTGTACTTTAGGAAAAGCACAAACCMTATCACTTGATTGGTGTCATAAAGCAGAGAATATATGAATATGCATTTTTTTGATACTGAGATTGAACCCAGGGACACTTACCACCAGGTGACACCCCCAAACCTTTTTTTGTAAATTTAAAATTTTTTTTTTTTTAATTTTGAGAAAGGCTTTTACTAAGCTGCTGATCTTGGCCTTAAACTTTGATCCTCTTGTCTTGGCTTTTTGAGTTGCTGAGATTACAAATGTGCACCATGATGCCCTGCTAACGCAGTGATTCTTTAATAAGGCTGAGAAGGAGGCCATGTGAGAATGCTTTAGGGGACAGGAGAAATTTGTAGAATTAATCAGATGAGATTCATACAGTATCCTATTTGGAAGTGGGATGTGTATTCTTTGGCTCCAGCTGAAAATCACTGACATGGAAAAATCAGGACATATGCAATTAAACAAATTCTACAATCTAGAATATAATTAAGGACCAAAACGAGGCCCTGAAGGGTAGAGCATTACAGTTTAGAAAATTGTAAGAATTCATTAAAAAAGAGATAATATGAGTAAAGTGGAGTTTCATGGAATGTGTAGTTATGAGTGAATCCTTGAAAGATGAAGTGGTGTTCAGTCAGGCAAAGGCTTAGAAGATATCAAAATAGACAATGTTTTAGGACAGAAAAGGCCCTGTTCTGGGTAGAATAGAATGTGTGTATGAAATATTAAAGCTAGTTATTTTTTTATTTTTTATTTTTTTAAGAGAGAGAGAGAGATGATTTTTTATTTTTTAATATTTATTTTTTAGTTTTCTGTGGACACAACATCTTTGTTTGTATGTGGTGTTGAGGATCAAACCTGGGCCTCACGCATGCCAGGCGAGCGCACTCCTGCTTGAGCCACATCCCCAGCCCTAAAGCTAGTTTTAAACAAGTGTTGGATTAATTTGAAATCTAAATTCTTTAGATTGATTTAAATCTAAGTTCAGATGYTATTTATTCCAACCTCCCTGTAAGTATAAAGAGGAAAGGCCTTCACAGTGGAAGTTTGACCAGGTGGGCAGAAGAGGGTGATGATGATAATAACTAGACATGTTTTTAGACTGCTGCCTATTTGCCAGAAGGCATTCTTAGGGTTAGACAAACTGTAATAATTSACCACTACCACTTATGAATTAGGAGCTGTGTTCATCACACTGTGTCGATGAGAAATCTGCACATAGAGGCCACCTAGCTAGCTCCATATAACTTAAGGACCTCCATCTGAGTGATGGAACCTGGATTTGAAACAGGCATTCTGACCCTCCAATTTCTCTTATTTTTTGTAGGCCATAGGAAACCATAAATGATACATCAGCAAGGTGATGAGTTTTGCACGTAGGTGGTTGATGAGGCATTTCTGGACACTTAGATCTGGTGACACTCTACTGAAGGTTTGAATGCAAATAGGTTAATTCAATGTACATTCATAATAAGAGGATAATGGTAATTGGCCATTGATGGAAGGTGAAACATTACAATTATCACCTATTTCATGAGTCTCTCTCTAATCCTACCTTGATTATTTTCCAGCATTCTCTTTGAATATGCTATACTACATTTTAACAATCATGTTGTATAATAAACATTTGAGTTGCATTCCCCCCTTCCCCAACGTCTATCTGGACATGGACTTTTGTCAGGAGCTGTCCTGGATGCAGACCTTCAAGTCCTGATGCCCCAGGACACTGACCAATTATTGCCTTCAGTCTGGATCGACAGTGCCAGCTCTTGCAGTAACTTGGGGTGTTACCCCAGCTCAGATAGCAAGGCGTGGCTCCAGGGATTGAGTTACACTCACCTGTGCCTTTGTAATCCTACCCCTTGCCTCATTTGAATGGCTTCTCCCCAATAAAAGGGTTCAGCACCTGTTCCTCACTCTCTTTCTTGCCTGCCTTGCCCCCTTTGTGGGAGCTGCAGCTGAGGAGTGTTTACTTAACCCAAAGAAAAGGTACTTCCTTTGTCTGTGTCTTTATTTATTCCCCCAATTCACTTGGAATGACCCTGACTGATTCAATTGTGAGACGTGACAGGCTTTCACAGAAATTTTTCTAAATTCATCATTTAGTCCTCRTAGTTATGGTTATATAAAATGAGTATATACAATATAAATGAGTTTATAAACAGATGAAAGAATAAAAAAATGAATAAAGGAATGTARTATGAAAAACAACCAATTGTATAAAGAATAAAGTCAATATTTAAAGAAGACTTGAGCATTGAAAAAGCCTTGTATTTAATTTCATTTCTTTGATCTATATTCTCTACATTTATTTATCCTAACATTTATAACAATATCTTTAGTTTATGAATTTTACCATTTTATACAAATACTGAATATTTGTGTGTATTCCATTATAGACTGAGATTAGTAATGCCACTAGATGGCGGTATTTATCCATATTTTGTAACGTGTGTGTGTGTGTGTGTGTGTGTGTGTGTGTGTGTGTGACTTCAGTGAAATATCACAATTTAATGAAAAGAAACAGTATTACATTTGTTCTACTGTATTAAAATATATAGTTCTCAGCCCTCTGTAAAGGAAAAATTATAAGATTGCCAGTATGTTAGTTAACTTCTTTGGAAGGATTTAATGGAGTGTAAATATTCCTATTGCCTGATGACATCTTAGCTATTTTGGTTTGTGCAAGAACACTATGATGGTTGAACTACATTAGATCACCTAAGATACATTTCTCAGAACTTATTCCCAGTTCTTATTAAATAGCACAGTTTCTACATATGTAGAAACTGATGCATTTTTACTGATTTCACTGCTATGATCCCCACCCAGGCACCATCATTAGTCTCCTCTGTTAACATAATAGTCTCTAAATGGGGTCTCCTTCTGTGTTGGACCCTGCATTCTCTTAACACATCAGATAATGTAATCCTATAAAAACACAAATCAGATTAGTCATTGTCCACTCAAAAAGTTCCCTCACTCTACACTTCACAATAATCTCAGAAGAAAGCCAACACTGGGTGTTTAATTCCATGAAAATGCAAGTCCTCAGGATGGTTGACAAGGTACCTGAAATATTCTTGGTCACTTACTTCTCTGCCCTGGTCTTCCACCTTTCTCCTTCCTCCTCTTCTCTCTCCTTCAGCTACCGTGGGCTTTTGCTGGAGGCTGGATTGCTGTCTCAAGTCCTTTGCTTTTATCCTCCACTCTGCCTTCAACAGCCTTCCTGCAGGTATTCTTCCTGCCTCCCCCACCCCCAGCCTTCTCTGTGAATGAAACCTGCCCTCATTGTGATGTTTAAAATAAAATGTTTAAAATAAACATCACAAGTGGGGGGGGTTCACAGAGAAGGGGG